AGGGAGGGAGGGAAGGAGGGAGGGAGGGAGGGAGGAAGGAAGCCAGGCAGAGGTGACACAGGCCTTTAATACTAGACTTAGGAGGCAGAGGATCTCCTAGTTTGAATCCAGTTTGGTCTACAAAGTGAGTTCCAAGACAGAGAAACCCTGTACAAAAGAAAGGAAGGGCAGAGAACTGTGACCTCTAGCTGTGTCCTCAGGCCCGTGTGGTGATGAGGGAGGATTCTTCGGTCTGATCAATAACGTACATTTCCTCCTTCCTCCTAGTACTCCATCACTGCTGATACCACTTCCTGGAACTATAGCCTCCACAGATAAATACTCAGTGTTTAAAGGAATCTCTGCTGACAAGCCCTCTGAAAACCCTGCTTCGTTTGGAGGTAAAAGCAGTTTGTCGGTTGATAAATCTGTGGCCGTAACTTTTAATTAAGTTGTATAAATCTTTACACGGCAGGTTTTTTATTGACTGTATCAGGTGCTGTTCCACCTGTTAAATGTGTGTGCTTCTCTGGCAGACGGCTGGCGTCCTCACTTTAATGAGTTTCTGTCTCTCTGTTGTAGAGTCTGGCGACAAATACAGTGCATTCAGGGAACTTGAGCAAACAGCAGAGAGTAAGCCTTTAGGTAAGTTTGGAGGCCATTTCTCCTTTTTTCTTCTGCTGCATTAGGGGTAAAAGCCAGTGCCTTGTGTGTGCTAGACAAGTTTTTTACCACTGAGCTACATCCTCTAACCCTTTAAGAATCTTTTTGAGGGCTGGGCAGTGGTGGCGCACGCCTTTAGTCCCCGCATTTGGGAGGCAGAGACAGACAGATCTCTGTGAGTTTGAGGCCAGTGTGATCTACAGAATGAGTTCCAGGACAGCAAGGACTATTTCACAGAGAAACCCTGTCTTGACAAGCCAAAAAATAAAAAATACAAAAATACAAAAAGATTTTTGTGTGGTTTTGTTTTTAGTGACATCCATAAACATTCATTTATTGTATATGTGTTTTTAAAGAAAAAAATTTTTTTTTACTTTTTATTATTATTATTATTATTATTATTATTATTATTAATTCAAGTTAGGGAACAAGCTTGTTTCACATGTAAGTCCTCTCTCCTTCTCCCTCCCCTCACCCCCTCCCCATGTGTCCAGAGACAGAGCGCATCCCTTCAAGTGGGATGGGCTCTCAAAGTCCGCCCCACACACCAGGGCAAAACGCCAGTCCATTTCCGGAGGCTCCCTGGAGTGCAGGGGCCTCCCCATTGGCATCCATGATCAGGGGGCTGGATCAGTCCCGTACTGGCCTTCCAAAGAGCGTCTGGGGTCGATATGCTTTCCCTTTTTCAGGCCAACTGTTTCTGTGGGTTTCTCCAACCTGGTACAGACCCCTTCGTTCTTCATTCCTCCCTCTCTTCAACTAGGTTTCAGATTTCAGCTCAGTGTATTTCTGTGGATGTCTGTCTCTGCTTCCATCAGCCACTGGATGAGGACTCATGTTTGTCTTTTTGTGATTGGGTTACCTCACTCAGGATGGTTTCTTCTAGTTCCATCCATTTGCCTGTGAATTTCAAGATTCCATTGCTTTTTTCTGCTGAGTAGTACTCCATTGTATAAATGTACCACATTTTCTCTTTCCATTCTTCAGTTGAGGGGCATCTAGGTTGCTTCCAGGTTCTAGCTATTACAAACAGAAAAAATATTTTTAAAGAATGGCAAACCAGATGTTATAGCACACACCTGTAATTGTAGTACTTGTGGAGTATAGACAGGAGGATCACAAGTTCAGGACAAATCTAGGTTACATAGCTAATTCCAGGCCAGCCTGGGCTACACAGTAACAGCCTGTCAGTCTCTAGGTAGGCCCAGCTGACTGGGAACTCACAGAGATCCACTTGTCTCTGCCTTTCAAGTGATGGGATTAAAGATGTGTACTACCATTCCCAGCTTAAAAAAAAAAATGACATACTATTTTATGGCACGGTAATGATTGTCATGATATATACTCAGACTTTAGGATTTTAACTCAGAAGTCCTTAATAGTTGTTGCAATGCCTAGTAAGTCTTGTGATAGGCTGAGTAGAGCACTACCTTTCGGAACAGTGCTAATTTGGGGAGCCTTGAAATTACAGTGATGCAGTGTGGCTTGTTTGGGGAGATACTTTTAAAATTTCAGGTAAATGTCAAATCAATGCAGTTTCCTCTGAAAACGGTACATTGCCTTTCACTGGTATCTGCCAGGCAACTTATATACTTTGTCAGAATGCTGTGACTGCTCTATTCTGACATGCCATGGGGCTGCTCACAGCACTTCTGTGAACTGTGCGGAAGGCAGCCACCAGTTTTAATCAGACTTTTAAAATAAGTTCTGGCATGGCGCTTGGCATTATTGTTGTTCTCTCGGTTTCTCATCCATCATTTGGAAAGAAAAACATTGTAGAATAACATTATTCAAGACTGCTCTGGGGCTGGGGAGATGGCTCAGTGGATAAGGGCACTTGCTGCCAAGCCTGGCAACCGGAGTCCTGTAGTTGAAATTTTTTGTCTCGCCCGTTCCCACTGGACTAGTTTCTCTCCTGCCCGCCAGGTCCCCACATCAGCTTATGAAATAGCACTCTGAGGCTTAATATCAATTACAATTGTTGGGCCAATGACTCAGACATTAAATTACAGTTACAATATTTAGTCTATTTGCATTTGGCAAAGTTTTTAAAAATGCTCTATCATCTATCCTATCTTTGTGAGTGTAAAATTTTATATCTAATTTATCTTTTATCATAACTAAGGAAAACTTTAACTATCTGTCTTCAACTCCATTAAAGACCCCAGAAGGATGCAATATTACATAAGTAAACAGGACGTACATTGCAAGCAGTTTCCAAAATTCTAGAAATGACAGAGACATCTGGCTTCCTGGACAGTCACCCAAAGTTCCTCTGCAATGTTGGGACATCTGTTTTTAGCCTACTGGCCTAGAGTGTCTGGCAGATTTCTTAGTGAAGCAGGAAATTTGAAGATCTGTTCTGCCTTGTACTGGCAAAGTTCATCAGTTGCTTTCTTCTGTGTTCTGCAAAATGTCTGGCAGTTTCCTCTGTGAAGCAAGAACTCTGAAGGACCATCCTATCCTATCTTGGCAAGTTTGGCAGTCACTCTCCTGTGGGTCCTGTATGTCCTGTTCATACAGCATACTGTCAAGCAGTTCGAGCAAGAGAAGTTTCTTGCCCAAATGGCTAGCTACACTGAAAGCAAACTCCATAATGAGTTTCTTCGATGCCTACCCTCCTTTCTGAAGTAATTGGTGTTGCCAGGAGCAGATATGTCTCACTGTCAAGAAAAGCCTAAGTTCTTAAAACATTTTAAATGCCATATTCTGTACGTCTTTGAAGTATTGAAGATTATCTCTCCATCTGAACTATACCTCTGTATATCTAGAAAACCTAACATAACTGTAAGTTTGACTATTATAGATGACTATCTATTAATCTAATTAATATAATGTATTTCCTAATTATACATTATATTTTTAAATGAACATCATAAACATAATACCTTAAAAAGAGTATAAATACAATATAACAAAATTGATCTTAAATTTGTATCAATAAACCAAAATCCATACCAATGTGAAGTATTCCTTTCTATATCATATCCCCCACTTTTTAAAGAAAGAGATTGACTGTGGCCATTAACTATATATAATCAACCCCTCTTAAATAAAAACAAACCTTTATAAATAATATTTGGGGAATTTGGGCATAGTTCTCTAGACTGATTGGGGGTGCTGTTAATCTTATGGAAATCAGGAGAAAATTTAGAATTATGGTTAAATTTTGGTTGTAGTAGTCTGTGATGCTGCATCATCTCAGCCAGTTGTCTTGAAGCTGTTTCAGATGGTCTTGTTCAATCAAACCATATTAGCCAGGAAAGAATCCATAGCTTTTTATCTTCTGTGAAACAAAAGCAGAACTTCTTTTCCAAAGTAACATGTCTGTAGACTTATATGTTGGTTTAGCTTAGCAGTCCCCACAATGAAATGTCACTCTGTAGTTAGCTCATTAATAGTCAAAAAATTTAAAGAAAACACATTAATATGCATAATCCAGACTCTCCATGTGTTTTCCATCTTTACATGGCTTGTTATAAATTTTTATTATTCTATTTCTCCTTTAAGGACCTCAGTTTATTTTCCTTAAATTATTTTTAAGCTTTCTCAGGTCTTATGTGGAGCCTTGAGAGCCTCACATTTGGTGCCACATGTAGTTGGAATTTTTTCTCTGTCTTACTGGACCAGTTGCCGTGGTGCTGCATCTGCTTATGAAATAAACTCTGAGGTTTAATATCAATTACAATTGTTTGGCCAATGGTTCAGACATATTACTGGCTTGCCCTCTCTTATAAATTAACCCATTTCTATTAATCTGTGTATTGTCATGAGGCTGTGCCAGACCATTACCTGTAAGCCAGAGCCCTATGGCAATGTTTTCTTGTGTTCCATCTAAGCCTGTAAGATGTGAAAGCTCTTTCTTCCTCCATATTTGTGTTAGGCAGTAGGCATTCAAATGGGAACCTTAGAGGAATCCTGACTTCATTTCGTCTTAGACCAGTTTCAAGGAGAGCCTGGTTTAGTGTCAGGGTTCTTTATGTGATATGGTGTTAATGATCATGATATAAATGTTACTTTAAAATTTTTTATTTTATGTATATAAGTGTTTTTACCTGCATGTATGTCTATGTACCACATGGGAACCTAGTACCCTCAGAGCCCAGAAGAGGGCATTGGATTTCCAGGAAATGGAATTACAGACAGTTATGAGCTGCCATGTGAGTGCTGGGAACTGAACCCAGGTCCTCTGAAAGAACAGTCAGCACACTTAACTGCTTACAGGGCCATTTCTCCAGCCCTGTAAACATTATTCTTATTAGAGACAATAGGAAAAGGTAGTGGTGCCCAAAATGTAAGCAGCACCAGGCCCAGTTATTGTCATTTTGATTTGCTTGTTTTCATTTCTCTTTACTTCACTCAGTTTAAAGCCTTCTGAGTTACTAACTTAGATCAATTATGTTGAATGTTTTAGTCTCCTAAACTTTAAAAAAATATTTCCTTGGTCTGAGCCATTTGTGGTACAGACCCTTCCTCCCAGCACTTGGAAAGTGGAGGCAGGCAGATGAGGAGCACAAGATCATCCTTGCATACATAGCAAATTTGAGCCAAAAATTAGGGGCAATGGGGGTTCTTAATGTCAAGCCTTAAAGCCTCTGCAGGACCCCAGTTCAGAGTGGAGTTTCTCGAATTGCTGAGTCGGAGTTTAATATATACTCACAGGCTAAGCCAGAAGTTCCGCCTAAGTTCTGAAAATGTTCTACATAAAGAAAGGACACTTCTTATCGGGGCTTTAGCCAAATATACTCACTTGAAATTTTCTCAGAGACTAAAAAGTTATAAAAATCAAAGGAGCTTGCAAGAATCCACAAGTGAACCAAAAAACTGCCAGTGGGATAGCAGGTCCACTCCCAGCTAGCCTATTTGCTGAAATATGCTTTGTTTTTGAAGTTATAAACCCCCATTTTCATTTCCTTTTAACCCTTTCACCCAGTTTACATTTCTGGTGGAAAAATTTACAATTCATCATCAGTAAGTTTAGTTTGCTGTGTGATTTGTGTTTAAAATCAAAGCCTGTCAATTTCACAGATATTTCAAAGCAGTACATCAAAAGTGTATTTAGGACATGATCTGGACATCTTAGCTCACACCTCTAATTATTGCATTCATGAGACTGAGGCAGGACAGAGGCCATGAGTTAAAGGTTGGCCTGGGCTACCATGTGAGACTCTGCCTCAAAAAAAAAAAAAAAAAAAAAAAAAACCAAAAATTTACTACTAATTAATTACCTTTTCATTTATAGGAATAACACAAATGTCATTGATGTGTCTCTAAAATCCTAGGGTAATTTTCACATTTGTATTTCCTGTCAATTTGTGAAATTGACCTTTTTATGTTATGACTTTTAATGTTATGGCTTGAAAACAAAAATTATAGGAAACTTGAAGGCTGCTCCTTTTTCTCAGATTTCCCTAATACTGTGGATAGATTGGTATTGATGACTTTTGCTAGTAAGTAGGTTCAGTATCAGACTAAGAATAAAAATCACATTGTTTCCAATGCTTTTCCATGTGGAAAATCAAAGTGCAGATCATGCATCAGACACAATAGGTTTAAATGATTTTAAGGGTTTGGCTCTAAGTACATTTTTAGGGCTCATATGCATCTGTTTCATTTTTTAGGAAAGATAATTCTTTTTGTTTTTTCAAGACAGCATTTCTTTGTGTGGCTTTGGAGCCTCAGGGGCTAGAGACAGTGGGTCAAAGGGTAAAATGTCTGCCAAAGAAGCCCAGTGTCCTGAGTTCCGTCCTCAGGTTCCATAGGAAGAAGGGGAGAGTCTGTGCCCCAGAGCTGTGCTCTGACCTCTGCATGTACACATCACACCCATGCATCTAACAACAGTAATCATAGGCTTTACATTTTTATAGTGATTGTATCTAGGGCACTTAACTTGCTTTCCAAATAAGTAGTTGTTTTCTCAAAGATTTTTGTCAAAATTTTTCAAATTAAGCCAAGCAGTGGTGGTGCATACCTTAATCCCAGCGTTTGGGAGGCAAAAGCAAGTGGATCTCTGTGAGTTCAAGGCCAGCCTGTTCTACAGAGAGAGGTACAAGACAGCCGGGGTTGTTACTCAGAGAAACTCTGTCTCAAAAAGCCAAAAAAAAAAAATTATTCAAATTAATATGTCCGTGTATTGAGCAAGACCTCATTATATCCTAATAATTTGTGTTCTTGCGTGTGTGTGCATATGTGCCTGTGAGCTCAGCATTGAAACACAGTTATGGTTGTATTATGCATGAGCTTTACGACTGAGCATTGAGCTACAATGCTCAGTGTAGCCTCTAGTAATTGGGTTGTTTTGTTTTTGATGGCGGTTAAGTTATTGGTTGTTTGCTTAGCTGGTTATGTTTGAATCCTGGTCTTGTTGTGTAGCCCAAGTTGGCCTCAACTGTGATCCTTCTGCCTCAGTTCCCCAACTTCTGAGAAGGTGTGTGCCACAGCACCCAGCTTCTAATCTTTTGAAAGTGATTAGTTTTCAGTGTTGCATATTCTGAAAATCAAAGGCAGACCTTTTCTCAGTGCTTCACTATTACTTTTGATTTTGTTTAAAACTACATGACATGTTTCATCTTTAAAGGGCTGCTATTAGAGTGTGCTTCTCTGGAGCCTCCAGCTTCTCTTTCAGTTTTGGCCAGAGGAGGAGTCTTGGCCAGTGCTTGCCTGTTTCCGTATCACTGGCTTTAATGTAGAAACAAGTTGTCTGATAGAGTGTGGACTATGGTTACTGTCAAGCCATGGGAGAAACCTACAAAATTACACTTCACTTCAGTTCAATACACCATGATCTATATGGTCTTCAACTCTGTGGCTTTACTTCACTGCACTTTTTTTTTTTCTTTCAGGAGAAAGCTTTGCCGAGTTCAGATCCACAGGAACGGATGACGGCTTCACCGACTTCAAGACCGCAGATAGTGTGTCACCCCTAGAGCCACCGACAAAAGACACTTTTCCAGCAGCCTTTCCCTCCGGAGCTGCACAACAGAAACAGACACAAGTGAAAACCCCCCTGAACTTAGCAGACCTAGATATGTTCTCCTCAGTAAATTGCAGTGGTGAGAAACCAGTACCCTTTTCACCTGCATTTGGCACGTCAAAGTCAGTTTCCACAAGACCTCCACCAGCCGGCTCTGCGGCAGCCTCGGCAGCACTGGCATCCACTAAAACTTCTAGTTTGGTAGATGATTTTGGAGAGTTCAACCTCTTCGGGGAATACTCAAATCCTGCCTCTGTTGGGGAGCAGGACGACTTTGCAGATTTCATGGCTTTCGGCAACAGCTCTATTTCATCTGAGCCAAAAGCAGATGACAAATATGATGTCCTCAGAGAGGAAGTGAGTCCCAGCCCCTTGGCCAGCAGCACAGCGGAGAGTGCACAGAACCCACCTGCTGCATCTTCCAAGTACGATGTCTTCAAACAGCTCTCCCTAGAGGGAGCTGGACTGGCCATCGAGGAGTTCAAAGAGAACACTCCTTCCGCAAAGAGTGACGATGACTTTGCTGACTTCCACTCCAGTAAATTTTCATCCACAAGCTCCGACAAATCCCTGGGAGAGAAAGTGGTGGCTTTCAGACACGCCAAGGAAGACTCTGCCTCCGTGAAGTCTTTAGATCTCCCCTCCATCGGTGGCAGCAGCGTTGGCAAGGAGGACTCTGAAGATGCGCTTTCTGTTCAGTTTGACATGAAACTGGCGGATGTGGGAGGCGATCTTAAGCATGTCATGTCTGATAGCTCTTTGGATTTACCAACAGTTAGTGGCCAGCATCCTCCTGCCGCAGGTGAGGAATTGGTGAGATTGCTCTGGTGATGGTGATGTAGATTTCAAAGATGATTCTGTGGGTACTGTTGACTGACAGACTGAGGCTCCTGCCCGTTACCAGGAGGATACCTAGTAATTCATTAGCCTCCTGCCATCTGTCTGCTTGAAGCAGTGTTAAACAGGATGCTATGGAAACCTTACTCTATGGGTACTCTAGCTGCTCTCAAGCTTAGATTGGAGAGCCAAAATATTTTTATTTTTGAAACCTGACACTCACTTGGTGTCAGAGGCCCATACAAACCAACTGCTCAGTGAACCCCACATAGCCAGGAATTTTATAATAACTTTCGCAGTGTCCGAAGTGTTTCTTCATCCCTGTGAGCAGGACCGGTGTTCCCGCTCTCCTTTTGTCTTCTGTTGAGTATATTTAGAGTTGCTAAGACAGTATTTATTGGTTTGGTTTACAGAAACTGACTTCCTAGATCAAGAGAGTGAAAAACTCTCCCCACTTGGAATGCGGTTTGCCAGCTTCCTTGAGCAGAGGGAAATAGGTCACTTAGGGATGCTTGGCATGTCAGGACCTAACGGGAAGCAGGCCCGTTTTCAGTGTTACTGTTGCAGTGTTACTGTGAGGATTAAGTTGTAGTAACCCTGTAGATGCTAGGGTAGGATAACTACTAACTTCTGGTAAGACGTGTGAAACCTTTCACTAGGGAGCCCTCTTTAAACCTGTGTGGATTTACGTGTAGCAGTTTATTCTCTGGTCCAACTTCCTGTCACAAGAACTAGATTCCCAAGTGTCCTAGTTTTTATTTTGCTTTGTTTTTAATATGTATATAGAAAGATAAACCTATTTTGTGGCCTTTAATAATGAGAACTCTCTCGGCGTTACTGTATTATTCTAGAAACTGCAGTATGCACATGCAGGGTTTCTTTCTTTACCTGAGAGGGACAGGTAAGACACTTCCAAGTTTACAGGCTCTGCAGACATTGTGAAGTGCTGTAGAGTCCACAGATTTCAAACTGGTAAATAGTGTCTGTCCTTTGCTACTGAAATGGGTTTCTTAAACTGAGTTTTGAATGGGAAGCAAAGTTAGCAAAGATACGTACGTGTGTTTCATCTGCTGCCGGCCAAGGGGTTCCCCAGGTGCAGCAGGCTGTTTGAGCTCCTCTGCCCTTTACTATCATTTCCTCATTTTTTTCTATTTTTCCCTTTGCTGCTGTTTGTTTGATGGGTGATTTTATTCTTATTCTTCTTCTTCTTCTTTTTTTTTTTTTTTTTTTTTTTTTTTGTATGAGCTGAGTGAGCCACAACACTTGGTCATAAGGGCCATTGTTTTTTAAACAACAGCATTTGATTTTTATTTTAAAAACAATTTCACAACATGTATACTAGTCTTTTGGACTCTGAAGTTATTAATTAGAGGCTATTTTTCTGAAAATGAATCTATATTCTTTCACAGTGCCAAACCACATATCTTTGTGAAATGAGTTAATCCAGGTTTGGGATGTCTTTTTCCCGCCCTTTATTCGGGAAAGAGAGGTTGGCCTTTGACTGAGCTCATTCCAATGGACCTGTTAAATAATCTGTGCCTGTGCTCTCTCTGTATGTTTGGAACATTCCCAGAATGGAACCTGTCATGTTCAAGCCAGCTCTCTTCAGAGGGAGGAGACCTGACAAGCAGATTGTTTCCTTCTGTGGCTCTGTAAACCTCTGGTGGGGAAGGAGCAGTAACCCTTCAGAGCGGTTGTTAAGAGGGTTGATGGCTGACCAAGGAGTTATGCCTATGTGTCATTGAGCAAGATTGCTGCATAAGTAAATATATTAGAGAAGGAGAGTGGCAGGCATTGCTTCAATGCAATGTGACTTTATTTTACCCTTCCACTCACCATGGAATCTCTTGCTCTCTTAGTCTGAGGAGTTAGAAGGATATCCTGGAGAAATAAGAAGTGGGCTGATGGAGCAAAAAGAACTTGGATAATAACTGCCTATGGACCATGGTCCTGTTTGGAAGCCCTAACTTAACTCTGAAGGGGATACTGTTTCTAACCCGTGCTGTTAACTCTTTGTATGGAAGGTAGATATACTAATAATATTGCCTGGTTTCTCTCTGCACATCGTCACGTTTACCCTTTAGCCCTCCCTCGATGCATATAATCTCAGTGAGGCTGCTTTCCCACCCCCACCCCCTAAATTTATTCTTTCTGGCACAGCAGCGTCTTGATGTTCAGTTCTTAAGATCCTTTGTTTCTCTGACAGCAAGAGCTTACTTTGATTTGTGACTTTCTCAAAGAGTCAGCAAGACCTCTGTGGCTACCTACCTGTGAAGTAGCTCTTTTTGACATGAAAAAAATCTTTGTATTTTAATCAGCACCTTATTATTTTGGGGGCTGCTTTTCTGATGTCTTTTTTCAACATAGACACTTAAGTATGAATGTGCCCTTTGGAACTTGCTTTATCCTCTTTCTCTGCAAACATTGGCCTGCATGCTTACTCTGATGGCTCCTTCCCAGCTCTTCTGTACCATTCTCTTGCAATCTGTAAGTCCTGTGTTAATAAACGATTCTTTGGCATATTTTGAAAGTGTGGGGATGTGTGTAATTTATGTTTTTCAGAATTAGACCAAAGAAATATCTGGCTGGTATAAAATTGAAGTCATGTCCCTTGAGACTGGATTTTCTTTTTTTCCTCCCAAGAAAGCAGGGGTATGGTTTAGCCCTAGCCCCTTTTAAGCCCATTGACAGGAGTCCTTAATGTGGCATTGAACTGAAGTGTAGCTGTAGGCTCTTGAGCTCAGTTAGTAGCATGCTTGCTAGCATCCCCAAAGGACTTATTTAATCCTCAGCACCAATTTATATAGAAATATATTAAGCACAGTCCTTAGCAATATAAAACTAAAGCTGAGCCAGGTGTGAAACACACACCACTGATCTTGGCCCTGGTGAGACTGAGACAGGATTGTGAGTTCAAGGGCAGCCTGAGTACACCATTGTGTCTCACTTAGACAAACTTAAAAAAAAAAAAAACCATGAAGGAGTGGAAAGAGATAATGTGTACACTCTGACGTGGACACTCACACATGGCACACTTGTGCTCACATATAGACACACTACACACCCAATAGTAATAAATGTTAAAAACTAAAACAACCCACAAAATAAAAGAACTAAGTTTTAAACTTTTTTTCATTTTTCAGAAAACAGTCTCTGGCCTGACTCAGTGGTAGAGTGTTTACAAGGCACTGTGTTCAATCCCAGCATTGCAATAAATCCATCAACAAATTAATTAATAAAAACCTCAAAGGTCAGGGAAAGTTAGCAATCAATAGCCAGACTTGGAAACCATTTGCTCTATTTTAGAATAGGATAACAGTGAGGAACCTTGGCAATCGAATTCTTTTTCAAGTCCCAAACTCAAACTACCTAAAGATTTTGGGGAAAAGAATCTTTTCAATGTTTTTACTTTTTACACATGATTTAAAGGTTTTAAGTTTTTGTTCATTTTTACAATTTGTAGAAGAAAGGATATTAAAGTCCTGGAAATGGTAATTTTGAATAGGATTCCAGAGATCACTTTCAGAAGCCACCAGAGAAAGAAAAAGTTGGGTGTCAGGGTTGAAATACACTCAAAGAAAAGCCAGGCCTGCCACTCAGATGTATAATGTGTTGAAAGTTGAGAGGTCACTGTTAAAGCCTTGTACAAGATGCTCTGCATTTTAACTGTGTGTGCTGCTAACAAATGTCTGAGAAAAGCTAGTGATGCCAGCAGCTGTACTCTCCTTTGTGAGATCAACCTTAGAGCTGTGGCTTCCTTTGTCAATAGATTCTCTAAAGCCACAGCAGTCTACTAGGATTGCTTTAACTCCCTTGTAAGTGGAAGTGACTGTCCCTGTGTGTGACTGTCATTCATTGAACAATCCATTGTGTATAGGTAGCATATTATTTTTAGGGAGGTAATTTTAATAGTACAGCACAACATCCCTTTTTTTGTGATTAAAAACCTTGGATTCTGTGCTATAGGTTCAAACAAATAGCACTGTGGTGTTTATCCTGATGCCAGGTAAGATATGGTTGGTTAATGCTTGTTTCTGTCAGTGCCTGAGACCATCCCACAAATGTGCTGGTGTTCTTCGGTCACTGCATTGATCCTGTTAGAATCCATGCTGATTACCAGAGGGAACCGGTGAGAACAGAGAACATTGGCAATGTCATACAAGCTGTGCTAGCTCCTAAAATAATTGAATGAATTGGATTGTTATTATTTGTTGTTGTTTGAGACAGGGTTCCTCTATGTGGCCCTGGCTATCCTTGCACTCATTCTATAGATCAGGCTGGCCTTGAACTCAAGAGATCCACCTGCCCCTACCTCCTGTGTGCTGGGATTAAAGGTATGCACCAACACCTGGTGGTGATTTTTATTTATACTACTTCTGCTTTGAGTCAAGGTCTCACTATGCTGCCTAGACTGATCTTGATCTCCTGAGTTTAAGCTATCCCCCGCTGCCTCAACTTCCAGAGTAGCTAAGACTACAGGTACATGTCATCATACCCAATTATTTTTGCTGATGTATATTTTATTTATTGCATGCTAAACAAGTGCTCTACCACTGAGGTACACTCTCAACCAAAATCACTTTATTGTTTTTCTTATGAGTGGCTTCTGCTCGGCTCTGTCATTTGAGGACTTTGGATAACTTGTTTGGGAAATGTCAGAACATAAGAAGGCATATACCCTGGAGGCTCTGTCCCCTAAGTCTGCTCTCTCCCTTTTGGTAGCCAGAAAGCCTTCATTGTAATTACCATCTGTTGTGCTCATTAGGTATCATTTTGATGGGATTTCTATTATTTTTTACTTGAGTGCAGGTGCTGCAGAGGCCAGAAAAGTATTGGATCCCCTATAGTTGGAGTTATAGGCAGTTAGTTGTGAGGTGCCTGGCATGGCTGCTGGGTCCTCTGGTAGAGCAGTGCATGCTCTTAACCTCTGAGCCCTGTTTCCAGCCTGGGATTTCCCTGACTGGCCTTGGACCATCTTACTGTCTCTTGCCTTCTCTCCTCTTGAGTTTAGTATTCTCGTGCGTGCTGCTTTTCTTCACTGAACTTAAAGCATTGACATAGAAACCTGCAGATGCCTACAGTGTAGACACAATATAAACCATAACATCTCAGGAGTCAGTGCAAACATGCAGAGTAGAAAGTTTCTGCACAGATGAGAAAACACAGGAAGGCCATCAAACAGCAATGTTTTGTAGCCTGTTGCTTGGTAAGGTCATTTTTCCTGATCTCTACAGCAATGCCTACCAGGGTGATGAGACTTAACAGGACACAGTCAGACAGGGCTTTGCAGTCAGTGGATAATATTCTCTAAGGGAGAATTGGTCCCAAAATGGGAGAATTGGAAATACACAAATATTTTATGGTATGTGTTGGTAAATGAAGGCTGGGTTAACTCAGCATTAGACATTAGAAGTTGTTTCCTCTTTGGGCCAGCAAACATTGCTGCTGCTATGCAGAACACTCAACGGTGGACTTCTACATATAGTTTTTTTTTTCCTTTCTTTAAAAGCCTTAACTCTTACTCTCTTGAGCACATGCCCACAGCTTTAGAAAACATTCACAGGGGTGGGTCTCACCGTCTGTGTCCTGTGGTGGTGGTTGCATGCCTGGGGATACCCTGTTTTCATGTACAACATGCATTCAGAGTGGATTTGAATAGAGGTTATGGAAGAGCCTGATAGTGTTAGCTGCCTGTAGGAGAGAAAGCCATGGCTTGATGAGAAGTAGGTCATACTGTTTATTCTTTTGCCCTTTGTCATAGCAAATTCTTGGTTGCAAACAAATCATGTGTGAAAGCACACAATTTGGCGTATTACCTGAGCCCACTTGCAGCTCTGTCTAGCACCACCCAGGAGTCTAAAGAATTGGAGATACTCTTCTTTTATTGCAGTCATTCCACATTTTCTTTTTTTTTCTCTTATAATTTTAAAAATTCAGCTACAAAATTGCAAAGCCATCTCTAGTTACTTTGGTGCTTATAACATCTGGTATCATTTTTCCCAGACAGGGCTCCTGTCCTTTATGCTGGAGGTCTTGTTCTTTGTTGTTTTTAAGATCTTTATACAATAATACATAGAACTGGGTTGCTAAGCAAATAGCTGCTAACATTGGAAAATGGGGAGTTTCCTTGTTTGTTCTTTACCTTCAATCAACTTATGTACCAATATTTTCTTAGAAAATGGTTTACCAGTATTCACTGTACCAAAAAGAGCACACTCCATATTTATAGTGTGTATGGATGTTAAGGCTCAGGGATAGGTATTATGTAACTGTTTGCTTTTTGGCTCTTATGTAATGCCAGTTTAGAGCTTATGTGTTGGAAGTAATTACTTTTTAGTAAATTGCCTTTCAGTCACTAGCAGCCAGTAAATAAGCAAAAATAAAAACATTCAGTTTCAAAGATTGCATTTAGTGACTCTTAGTATGTTTACCCTCATATATATGTATATATATATATATATTGATCAACATATCAATCATCTCCTTTTACATCTTCCATTTGGCTTTTCATTTAGTCATTTGGTCACTTCAATGAGTAGCTCCAGGAGGTGAAATGTTCTATGATTTCATTGAAGATCTTCGTAGTTATAAAGTCTTAAAATCTCTTTAGCTAAGGGAATCCTTGTTGCTTACAATGACTTTTACCTGAAAATGTGAGTCATTCTTGATTTAAAAAAAAAAGGCTTGCTTTCCTGTTGTATAATTGCACAAAAAGGGTCTTTTTATTACCATAGCAACTTGGCTGCAGTATTTAAACCAGAGCCAGAGCTGTCATTCCATAAATTTATCTTTGGTCTGAAAAAAATCGATAGTTTTTAATAGATAAGATACTAGAAGCAGTTTCTGATATGGTTTCCCCAAAGGGCCTTCTGGAAGGGTCTAATAATAAATGTATCTGTGTGGTAAAGCATTCTGCTTAATGCATCCCTGACAAACTAGTCTTGTGTTTACCGGCATCTGCCTCCTGATTGAATGGCACCTCATTTGAGCCTGCACATCTAGATCTAGGCAGACCCTCTACCCAGAGGGGAAGCACTACAGGGAGGGACTAAGACAGTGCCTTGTCTAATGGCTTGCTTCATTCATTCATTCTAAACCATAAACTTGCTGCCCAAATTATTTTTTTCCTTATTAAGCAAGCCACATGTGAAGGGTGCAATTTTCACTGCAGAATTTTAAAGTATTCCATCATTTAGCAAAGGAGAGTTGATTTTTTGTTTTTTTGTTTTCTTTCTTTTTTTGGTTTTTCGAGACAGAGTTTCTCTGTGTAGCTTTGGAGCCTATCCTGGCACTCGCTCTGAAGACCAGGCTGGCCTCGAACTCACAAGAGATCTGCCTGCCTCTGCCCCCTGAGTGCTGGGATTAAAGGTGTGCACCACCAACGCCCTGCAGGAGAGTTGTTTTTTACTGGTTGACTATCTAGCGTTTTTATTATTAATTTAATGCTCTTATCAGAGAATAGGGAGATGTGTGGAATGATGGTAGGAGAGCTATGGAAGTGTCCAGAACCTCGTACCTATTCTAAACTATGTGCTATTGCTCTGAAAGAAGGGGAAATGACCAGTGTCATTTCACCTATTGGCTTAATTATGAAAATCTGGTCACAGAACTTTGCATTTCTTGTGAGTTGTGTGTGGTTATCAGTGTGGTTGCCTTCTCACCTCAGATACAGTAGTGAAAGGAGCTTCTTTCAGCAGGGCACTATGGCAGGCTAGAGGCGTCTTCTCTCGTTTTTTGCTTTTTGAAAACTAGCTACAAAGCTAAGCCTCGAATCTAACAGGAGGATTTTGGGTTCAAGGCCAGCCTAAGCAGGTTAGTAAGAACCTGTCTCAACAGAGTTGAAAGCAGAGAGCTAGAGATGTGGGTCAATGGCCAGGCACTTGCCTAGTGCACCCAGGGCCCTGGTTCAATTTCCTGTGTTACCAAAGGGTAGAAGAAGATAGAAAATGAGAAGAACAGCTTTTCCTGACAAATCACTAAGATAGTGAGCTGCCTTTTTATTTTCACCCTGGAAGGATTCACACTTTTCCATGTGTTGCCCTCCAGGCACTGAACAGTCTTCCACACACGTCATCACAGCCGATTTTCCAAACAACCCTTCAACACATAGAATCATCTCTACTTCATAGATGAGCATACCAGGGTTCAGAAAAGTACATGTGGGACTAAGACCGGAGGGTTTGCCAGTTCACGGCCAGACTGAACTGTAAGGCTTGTGCCTGTGCTAACGAAGTAGGTGGCAGAGTCAAACTCTGATCTTTCCAGACTAAAAAGCTGCATTCTTTCTGCTATCTCATTCATTCATTCATTCATTCATTCATTCATTCATTCATTCATAGACCAGGCTGGCCTTGGAGATCCGCCTGCCTCTGCCTCCCAAGTGCTGGGATCAGAGGTGTGCACCACCACCTCCAGCTTCCTTATTTAAATGTGGACGAGAAGAGAGTGAGTCTTCTCGTCAGCACACCTTTCCTTTCCTTCTTCCGCTTCTCAGTGAGTGTGGGGAAGGAGAGGAATCATTGGAGCAGAAACAGCCCAGAAGGACCTCAGACTTTTCACTTGCTGGCCTGGAACTCAAAGAGATCCACTGCTTCTGCTTCCTGGAATTAAAGGCGTGCGCCACCACGCCCAGGCCTTCCGTTCTTTTTTTTTTTTAAGGACTAAAGTAATTCAGGTTGATTTTTATTTTTTCACAATCCATCCCAGCAATAGGATATGCAAACTGACCAAAATTAAAATGAGGTAAGTGACTGCTCGATTCAAATCCTGTATGTGTCTTTGCCTGACACAGAAATTTCTAGTAACTTATTAAAAGTTAGATGAGAAGGTTTTGAGAAACTGGATTTTTGGTTTGTCACATTTCCTATAACTGTGCTTCAGAGGAACACTGTCCAACATGGTGCAGAGAAAGGGGGGTGAGGTTTGAGTATGGAATATGTAAGTATGCCTTCAAGCTTAAAAAGGAATAATCACTAAATGACTTCAGTCTTCTTATCAGTGTGGGCATCAGTGTTTTTGTAGGATTTTTTACATATAACAGAAAGGATTTGTTTTGTTTTATTTTTTGAGACAAGGTCTGTAGGGGATGCTTAGCCACGCCTGCGAGGGCGTGGTCAGGGCTGGCTACAGGTGTGCCCTACAAAGGTCTCTTTGTAGACCTGACTGTCCTGCAACTCTATGTAGACAGAGCTGGCCTCAAACTCATAGAGATCTGCCTCTCAAATGCTAAGGTTAAAGGTGTGTGCCACCATGCCCAGCTAAAAGGATTCTTTAAAATCAAATATAAATGCTATCTGAAAATGAATGTGGTTTCTTAAAGATCAAATGTCACAGCCCACTCCTTTAGTTTTAGTACAAGCTTTGACTGTAGTTTCTGCAGCATGTCATGGGACTGATAAAATGGTCTAGGCATTTTGCCTAATTCAGGAGCTTGCCTCTAATCGTGGGACCACCCTTCCCTTTCAGACATAGAGGACTTAGACTGTGATGCTTTCAGAAGCTATAGTAGCATTCTGCAGTGAGCACGTTTAGGAGCTGTGAGTGGCCAGCCAAGCAGGGGTGATGCATCTCAGGGCAGAAAACTCTCTCCATTTGTCCCCTCAGCAGGAAGTGGGTACTTCTCCACCACCTCAGATCTTCTAAAGAGAGAGACTTCATTTGGCAGCTCTGAGAACATCACCATGTCATCTCTCTCCAAAGGAACGGCCTTGGCAAGCGAGGACACTCTCCAGGGGACTCCCTTCCCAGCTTTCGCCAGCTTTAAAGACATGATGCCCCAGACCACTGAGCAGAAAGAGTACGAAAGTGGGGACTACCAGGACTTCTCAAGGAAGGACCTGCCCACAGTAGAACGAAGCCAAGAGACCACATGTCCAAGCCCAGCTTTCAGTGTCACTTCTCATGAAACCCCCAAAGAGTGTGCAGACGACTTTGGAGAATTTCAAAGTGAAAAACCCAAAATCAGCAAGTTTGACTTTTTAGTAGCCAATTCGCAAAGCAAAATGAAGTCCAGTGAAGAAATGATCAAAAGTGAGCTGGCAACCTTTGACCTTTCTGTTCAAGGTAAGATTTTCTTCCTGTGGTCTTGTTCCACTGAGGTGTAACACATTCTTTCCTGAGGATAAAATGATTTTTAAAACAGGCATGGTGATGTGTAGGTGGAAGTTTCTGTCCCTCCTGGTCCCGCAGCCATTTAGTCCCAAATAAACACACTGAGGCTTATATTAGTTATAAACTGTTTGGCCGATGGCTCAGGCTTCTTACTGGGTAGCTCTCTTAATTACTAACTCATAGCTATTAATCTATGTACTTCCACAAGGTCTTGGCTTACCGGTGATGCCCAGGTCCCTTTCTCTCTCTGCAGCTTCATGGTGTCTGTATCCCAAGACTCACACTCTCTTCCCCTTCCCAGAATTCTCCAGTCTGGCACCCCCCACCTATACTTCCTGCCTGGCTACAGTGATGTCTGTAGCCCTGGTATTCAAGAAGCTGAGGCAGGAGGATCATGAGTTTTAGATCATCTGGGTTATAGAACAAGCTTCAGGTCAGCTTAGGCTACATAGTGGACACTATCTCTAAAGCTAACAAATAATTTCAAAGATTCTTTGTTTAGCAGGAAATAGATGTTCCAACCTCTAAGACTGGGGTTTCCCTGGAGCTCGAGTCGGATCCCTGTCCCTCACAGCTGCTTACTGAAGAAAGACCAAGTAGAACGTGTGTCTTTCTTCACTCTCAGTTTGCTTAGAAGTGTGCTGTATGTCAAGAGTGGTGATGAGTGCTTTAATCCCAGCACTAGGGAGGCTGAGACAGAACTGTCTGTGTGAGTTCAAGGCCTGGTCTACATAGCCAGTTCCAGGACCCTGATTCAAAAAAAAAAAAAAAAAAAAAAAAAAAAGGAGAAGAAGAAGAAGAGTGCTGTCTAAAGTAGCCAAAGAAGTGGATCCAAAGGTTTGATATTTTGGGGCAGGTTAAATCTGCTCTTGTTCCACAGGTTGAGTGTGGCTATGGGTCTTTACTCAGCTTACAGATCTGTGGGTTTTATTTGTTATTTTTTGTTTTTGACAGAGGGTCTCATGTAGCCCAGGCTGGCCCCAAAGCTACTGTGTAACAGAGAACGCTCCTGAGCATCTGGTCCTCCTGCCTCAACCTCCCTAGTACCCCTAAATGCTGGTGTGTACCACCATGCCTGGCACTAAATGCATATTTGTTAAGTGTATGTGTGGGCACATGTGCCAGGGTGTGCATATGGAGGTCAGAGGACAACTTTTGGAAGTCTGTTTTCTCCCTCCATCAAGTGAGTCCTGGGCATCCAACTCTAGTTGTCAGACTTGCCAGCAAGAATCTTTATCTGCTGAGTCATTGTGCCCATGAATGCATTTTTAATGATCTCTTTGGGCCTAAAGAGATGGATGACTCAGTGGTTAAGAGAGTGTACAGCAAAGGACCCTGAGTTCAGTTCCTAGCACCCACATCAGGCACAACTGCCTGTATCTCTAGCTTCAAGGAGGAGCCTACAAAAAAAGGGGGGGCTCCTACACCTCTGGATTTCATGTGCATATGTACAACACACACAATTTATTTAAAAATAAAATAAGGGGATTGGTGGAGAAGTGGCTCAGTAGTTAAAAGTATTTGTTCTTAAGATGACCTGGATTTGATTCTTGATTTCCAGCATCCACATGATAGTTCATGACCATTCACAGTTCCAGTTTCAGGATATCCAATGCCTTGACTTCCAGGGACACCAAGCATGCATGTAGTGTACATACGTATACACAGGCAAAACACTCACACATAAAATAAAATGAATAAATCTAGTAAAAATGAAAGATTTATTTCTTTATTTAATGTAATGAGTGCTCTATCTGCATGTATGCCTTTATGCCAAAAGAGGGCATCATGTCCTACTATAGATGGTTGTGAGCCACCATGTGGTTGCTGGGAATTAAACCCAGGTCCTCTGAAAGAGCAGCCAGTGCTCCTAACTGCTGAGCCATCTCTCTAGCCCAAATTATTTTTTTTTAAAGCTATCTGGTGCTGAAGAAATGAATCAATGGTTAAGAACATGCCCTGTGTCAGTCATGGTGGTGCACTCCTTTAATCCTAGCATTCAGAAGGCAGAGGCTGGTGAATCTCTGTGAGTTCAAGGCCAGCCTGGTCTGCAGAGTAAAGTTCCAGAGCAGGCTCCAAGCTACACAGAGAAACCCTGTCTCAAAAAACAAACACAAACAAAAATTTTTATAGCTGAACCTGACAGCACATGCCTTTAATCCTAACACTCCAGAGGCATTCTCTGAGTTTGAGTCCAGCCTAGTCTACACACACAGTGAATTCTAGGACAGTCAGAGTTACATTGTGAGACCCTGTCTCAAAACAAACAAACAAAAAGAATATGCAGTGCTCTTGCAGGTGACTTGAGTTTGGTTCCCAGCACACACATCTAGCAGCTCACAACTACCTATAACTGTAGCTCCAGGGAATCTGATACCTTTGGCCTCTGTGGGCACCTGCACTCCTATACACATAACCAAACATATAGCACACATACATAATTAAAACTCACAAAAATCAGCACCTTTAAAAAATGTTTTAAATTGATCCTTAAAACCTAAAGTAATAGCAAACATTTTAAAATTGTATTTCTCAGTCTGGACTTATGGTTTTTCTTGAAAAGTTGTAATATCTGGCAGTCGAAGGCCTGCATTCCCGGTTCTTAACAGTCAGCCAGAACTGAACAGCAGCACACCCTGGAGGTGGAGAGGTACCTCCCAGTTAGTTAGAGTCTCTGCCATCTTTCTCCAAATCCTCTGCTTCATTGCTGCCCACTCTTCCTGTCTCTGGAGTTCTGGATCTACAGGAGAATGCCAGCCTTCAAGCAGGGAGCCATGAAGGTACAAGCCCACAGCCAATGATAGGAAGGGTCTTATGGCTCCTATTTAGAAAGGCACTTGGCATCTAGACACCGGTTTTCAGACCTTAGGATTATGTAGTGTAGTGATAGATCAGAGAGGAATAATGGAAGAAACCAGAGGAAGGCTCCAAGCACAAGAGATCAAGACTCAAAGAACTTCCCAGACAGAGTGAATGAAGACTGTGTTTCAAATGCCTCCTGACATGACCCCCTGTAAAAGGTGGTCACATCAGCAAGCAGGCCCCTGCTTGAGCCAGGTTGAATAACAGAACCTTTGTTCCTACTCTTCCCTCTGCCCAGGATCACACAAGAGAAGCTTAAGCCTCGGGGATAAAGAAATAAGTCGATCCTCTCCTTCTCCAGCCCTGGAGCAGCCTTTCAGAGACCGTTCCAACACTCTGAGTGAGAAGACAGCGCTGCCCGTCATCCGAGACAAGTACAAAGACCTGACCGGTGAGGTGGAGGTAAGCTGGGAAGCTTCCTGGAAGAGCACCCCAGGAGGAGACACTGTCCACCAGATAGCAAATAGATCATTAGATGAAGAGGCTGGTAGCGTTAGCCCAGGATGAAAATGTGCCCTTCGTGTGACAGCCATAAAAGTCATGGCTAAGTTGAAACTGTTCATGGGACTTTGCAAGGAGAGAAGCATTTAAAAAAAAAATCTTTTCCAAAACTTACACTTTATCATCCTACTGAATTTTAAAACATCAACATAGAGGAGAGGAAAAATGTTTTGAACCTTCTGTTTCTGTTTGTAGTATCTTAATTCCACCCCTGACCCTTGTGATACATACGAGTATACACACACATACACATGCACACACAGTAGTGTGCTATAGAATGGAAATACACATGCACACACAGTAGTGTGCTATAGAATGGAAATATACATGCACACACAGTAGTGTGCTATAAAATGGAAATATACATGCACACACAGTAGTGTGCTATAGAATGGAAATATTCATGCACACACAGTAGTGTGCTATAGAATGGAAAGCTGGGGCTGGAGAGATGGCTCAGCCAGCTAGGCTCACAACCAAAACTATAAGAATGGAAAGCTGTAGTTTTATCCTGTGTGTATGTGTATGAGAGGTGGGGAAGTTGTTTTGAGATGGTCTCATATAACCCTGGTTGACCTAAAGCTCTCTACATTGACCAGGCTGGCCTTAAACTCAGTGATCCTGCTTCTGCCTCCCAAGTGCTAGGATGTTGGGGGTTACACCCCCACGCCTAACTAAAGCTATAGGATGGCAGTAGCTCATACAGTAGATACCTCCGAGGTGAGTAGCTGGATAGAAGCTTACACTATCACTGACTGGAACAAATGAGACACATTTACACAGAGAGGCTGCTGTAAAATAAGTCCTCCAAGTTCCTATTTCTTGTCTCTTAGTGGATTTTGAGTGATAACTGTCTTTTGCAAGTGTGCTTTCTATGGAAGGGAGTCATCTAAGCCCTTTGTATTGGGAGAAGTCACAGAGAACCCTAAGCCTGCCTGTTGAACTCAGTTCCTTTTATAAAACCCACAGGAAAATGAGAGATACGCGTATGAGTGGCAGAGATGCCTGGGGAGCGCCCTGGATGTGAGTATGTCACTTCTGTGCATCGGAACACTGTCTTGCACTGTTTTGTCTCCTCCTTGGTTCTTTTGAATGAATGCAGGCAAACACGGGGGATGCCTTACTTCCATCACCATGCACAGTGTGTAAGTCACGCAGGGCTCTCGGAGAGATGGCTCAGTGGTTGAGAGACAGCACTGGCTGCTCTTCCAGAGAACCTGGGTTCAATTCCCAGCATCTACATGGCAGCTCCCAACTGTCTGTGACTCCAGTTCCAGGGGATCCAACATCCTCACACAGACATACATGCAAGCAAAACACCAATGCACGTAAGATAAAACTAAATACATTTTTAATAAGAAAAGAAAACCATGCATCCCTCAAGTTTACAGCAGTAGACACTGGCTCATTTGTCAGCCTTCCCTACATTTGTCACGGTATTTAAGAAGTAGCAAAGTGGTATCATTACCTCTGGCCTACATAAAAGTAATGTTTAAACTAAAGAACCTGTTTCTCTCCCTCACCCCCATCCCTGTCTCCCTCCCACAGAAGTGAAGGATGGTTTCTTGGAAGATAAAATTAAATTCTTAGATTTGTCTCTGCATAGGTACTTGCACATGCCAGTTGGGCACAGCTTTTCACATTGGTTGGGTTTTCTGCTAATGGGAAATTGATTTGCAGTGACCTTTCTTGGTTATATCAGATATTGTGATTTCATTTCTTGTAGGTCATTAAAAAGGCAAATGACACCTTAAATGGCATTAGCAGCAGTGCTGTTTGCACGGAAGTTATCCAGTCAGCCCAAGGCATGGAATATCTTCTAGGTATGTTCTTTGGTATTTCACATAGTCAAACCATGCCATGTTGCCTTAGTATCAGTGTTCACTAACTCTACTATATATAGCCTCACTAGTAGCTGCATTCATAGGTAAAATACTGATGTCATGGGCAGCAGCTATTTTACTTAAGATCTCTGTAGTGAAGTTTTCTAGTCTTTGTTTTACATATATCTTAATATAAACTATATCTGTAGGGGCTGAAGAAATGGCTCAGTGGTTAAAGTGCCTACTGCTTTTACAGAGGACCAGAGCTCGGTTCCCCACACCCGTGTTGCTTGTCTCACAACTGCCTGTAAATCCATCTCCAGGGGAGCCAATGCACTTTTCTGGCCTGCACCAGACCCTTCATACACATGGCATACATTCACACAGATTACACCCATATACCTGAGTAAGAATTAACATCTTAAACCAGCAACAGATATAATACATTTATTTTTGTCAGCAAACCTTAACTAGTAAGACATTTTAAGTGGCATCATTTTACAGGCCTCAGTGCCTCCTGTTGTCTACGCAATCTTCCTCTCTGTTCCTCAGTGACAGAAACAGATTCCTTGCCTTCCTGGCTGTCTTCAGTTGTTAACATCGAACTTGAAGCCCCAGTCTGATCAGTGTTCCTCCCTCCGCAAGCTCAGGCCTCCCTGTGTGGGCCACAGGCACAGGAGACCTTCCCTCACCTGTCCCCTTGTCAGAAAAGCTTTCATTCCCCTCTTTCTCAAAATTCTATCTCTTCTCCTTAGCCCTGTAACCTTGACTATCTTACAGTCCTTTCTGTTGACACTACCTCCCTTCACTAGGGTGAACCTCTAAGAGGGCAGAATTGGGGCTTGTTTTGTTCATCCCCACACCTCCAACCCCTGTCTTAGTGACTGGCACAGAGAGTATACTGTGTGTTGGCAGATGAGCTGCCAGTGAAGGGCTGGAGGGCCTGTCACCTTGACTCCTGTACCAGCCTCTTGCTCACACAGCCATAGCTCTCTCATCAGCTAGCTGACTCCCACTGCCCCCAAGGAATGGTGCCTTTCCTTCTAGGGGCTTTCCTAGTCTATCTGTGGAAGGTTCTATTGGAACAGCCCTTACTTTCTGTAGTGGACAGCCATTCCTGCCCATCCTTTGGTGAAGAGGAAGAAAAGCCTTGGTGGTGTGCAAGGTGATGAGGCCTGGAATCCTCTAGTATTCACTGGAGTGTGTGCCTGTTGGCTGCCCTTAGGATGAGGAGGAACTTGGTACCTCCCTCCTTGCTTAAGGAAGCTCTGGGGGCTGTAGAGATGGTTCAGCAGTTAAGAGCACTGGCTGTCCTTCCAGAGGATCCCGGTTCAATTCCCAGCACCCACTTGGCAGCTCACAGATGTCTGTAACTCCAGTTCCAGGGGATCCGACACCCTCAAGCAGATAAAACACCAATTAAAAAAAAAAAAAAGAAAGGCTGGGCGTTAGTGGTGCACGCCTTTAATCCCAGCACTCGGGACACAGAAGCAGGTGGATCTCTGAGTTCGAGGCCAGCCTGGTCTCCAGAGTGAGTGCCAGGATAGCCTTCAAAGCTACACAGAGAAACTCTGTCTCCAAAAAACCAAAAAAGAAAGAAAGAAAGAAAGAAAGAAAGAAAGGAAGGAAGGAAGGAAGGAAGGAAGGAGAGAGAGAGAGAGAGAGAGAGAGAGAGAGAGAGAGAGAGAGAGAGAGAGAGAGAGAGAGAGAGAGAGAGAGAGAGAGAGAGAGAGAGAGAGAGAGAGAGAGAGAGAGAATTCAGCCTCTGCCAGGCACGGTGGTACACACCTTTAGTCCCAGCACTTGGGAAGCAGAGGCAGGCAGATCTCTGTGAGTTTAAGGCCAGCCTGCTCTCTACAAAGTGGATTCCAGGATAGCCAGGGTAACAAAGAGAAAAATAATTCAACCTCATCAGAGACTACAGGAAAAGAATAGTCCTGACCAGGCTCCTGCCCATAATCCCAGCACTAAGGATGGTAAGGCAGGAGGATTGCTACTAGTTGAAGGCCAATAGGTTAGATAGTGAATTCCAGACCATCTTGGGCTGCAAACAAACAAAACTAAAACCCCCTGATCATCTGAGTTTAATTACAAGACCTACATGGTGGAAAGAGAGAACCAATTCATGCAACTTGCCCTCTGACCTCCAGAGTGGCACATATACCACACCACTCCCCACCACCACCACCATATACAAATAAGTAAATGTATTTTTGTTTTATTTTATTTGGTTTTTCTTTTTTGTTGTTTGTTTGTTTTGTTTTTGTTTTTCCAGGCAAGGTTTCTCTTTGTAGCTTTGGAGCCTGTCCTGGCACTCGCTCTGGAGACCAGGCTGGACTCAAACTCATAGAGATCCGCCTGCCTCTGCCTCCAGAGTGCTGGAATTAAAGGTGTGCGCCACCAACGCCCACCTGTTTGTTTTTAAAGCTTGAGGATTCAGCATGGATTACTCTGTGATGACATTAACGTTTAGATTCTTTAAAGCTTTATTTCCATTTTCAGTCAGTTAATGGTATTTCCCTGGTTCAACCAAAAATTCATAAAGAAATCTGAGCTAAAAGCCTAGTACCTCACACAATGTCTTCTGCTCACAAAACACTGTTATAAACCTTGTACAGTGTTCATGTGTTTCATCTTCTCACCCATCCTCTGAGGAGTTCCTGTTACTGTCTTAATGAGGCACACAGAGGTTCGTAACTTGCCCTGGGATACACGGCTGCAAAGAGATGGGGCAGGAATTTGAGCTCACAGTACATAGCTCTGGAGTCCGTGTTCATACTTAAAAGCCTCCAGCAGCACTGGGCAGTACTGTGGTCTGGTGATGGCCACAGTGAAGGCGTGGGGATGTGTCTAGTGACCATCCTAGAATGAGGAGGTGCTCAGCACGTCTTGTTGAGACAGTTGGACCTGATTGAAGACCACAGGAACGAAACTGTCTGGCTGATCAAGGAGGCTCACACCTTGTAGTGTTTGAACAGAATGGCCCCCAAAGACTCATAGGTTTGAATACTTGGTTCTCGGTTTGTGGAACTGTTCAGGAAAGATTAGGAGGTGTGACCTTGATGTAAGAGATGTGTTGGGCATGAGTGGTTGGGTGTGGGGGGTGCTTTCAGGCTTCGGAAACCTCCTGCCATTCCCAGTATATTCTCTGCCTCCAGCTTGTAGTTTGAAACATGAGCTCTCAGTTGTTCCTGCCGCCATGCCTTTACTCTGCAATTATAGTGTGTAGATCCTAAGCCCAATTAAACACCTTTTTTCTCTAAGGTGTTTTATGGCAACAACGGGAAAGCAACTAGTACAATTCTGTATTCACAGACCTGTCTCCATGCAATTGTGTTCCTCCTAGTCAGTCATCAGCAAGCCTCAACTCTGCTTTGTCCTGCCTGCTTTTCCCATACCTAACTCTCCTCTCTCCCTGTCAGGCGTCGTGGAAGTGTATCGAGTAACCAGGCGTGTGGAGCTGGGGATTAAAGCCACTGCTGTTTGCAGTGAGAAACTCCAACAGTTGCTGAAGGACATTGATAAAGTGTGGAACAACCTGATTGGCTTCATGTCACTTGCCACACTCACGGTAAGCCTGTGCAGCAGCTGCTTCTCTTTCCAGAAACCTGTTTTGAGGCAGAGAATATATTCTTAGGATGCACTTATCGGAGGGTGAGTGTGCCAGTTGGACTGCGTTATGTTGATGGAGGTCTAAGATAGCAGCCGCAGCCTGGCTTTGGAGTTCCAAGACCACTGGAGCTTGGGAAAGTTTCCCACCTTGGCAAAACAGAAGTGTACAACAAGATCCTTATCTGTAGTTCTTAATTTGTGTGTGTGTGTGTGTGTGTGTGAGAGAGAGAGAGAGGAGAGAGAGAGAGAGAGAGAGAGAGAGAGAGAGAGAGAGACTGGGTGTGACCTTGCCACAATGTGTTTGTGTGTGTGGAGGTCAGAGGACACATGGTGTCTGTTCTTACTTTCCACCTTGTGTAAGACAGGGTCTCTATTGTCAGCCTCTATGCACACTAGACTGGATGACCCACAAGCTTACAAAAGGGATATAAACATGTGGCCTTACCACCTCCTGCTTTATATAGGTTCTGGGAAATTGAATTCATGTCCTCAAGCGCTTTGCCCACTGAACCATCTCTCAGTACTAGTCTTTCTTAATTCTTAAGAATGTAAGTTTTACTAAAAAGTAATGATTTGAGTTATCCCTTTGCACTTAACTGACTTATGCCCCCTAGTGTTCTTTAGAGAGCTATGTGGTAGAGCATCATGTTATTGACCTACAGGCCACTCACCACTGTTATTACTTTTCTTGGATTCATTTTTTTCCCATGATACAAATAGCTCTACTTTGAATAAACAGATGACTTGCCCCGCTCTGTGTATTATAGTCTCTCAAAGTGGATGGAGAAGGCCAGAGTGTGTGTACATGCATGCAGCCTGCATGGCTGCTACAACACTTTCCAGGTAGCATTTAAGGCCTTGCTATATTCCAAATGATAACTCACTGGTACTGTTTCTATCCTCTATAAGCTCACTTCTTTGGACCATTTTGGCATCCTTTTAATGGAATACAGCTATCGACATGTTTCTATTCATAATATATATCCCAGTAAACATATCAGTTTGTTTCCTGCTGTTATTACTGTCTCTTCCTTCTTACCATTCACTATTTAAACATTCAAACCCATTCAGTTAGTCCCTGATGTAGTCCTGTTCACAACAGTCAGAACTGGATACATGCTGCCACTCCTCCAGTTACCCAGTGACCCTCTGAGAGGGTTGCAGCTCTACAGGAGGGAGGAGTTCTCAGTGCCCTCACCTGACAGCCCGGTGATAGCCAGTTGTCCCATTGTGCCCTAAACAACAGATCTCACTGTTGTTCTGTTGCTTCTAGTTTTACTTTATTAAGTTCTTAATGAGTTTAAATGAGGGGCTGGAGGAAAGGCTTCTCAGAGCTGCACTGTTCATTTGTTTGGTTTTTGTTTTTTATTTGGTGATGCTAGGGCTGGACCTCAAGACTCATGAAGGCTAGAGAAGTTACTATACTGATGCTGAACCATACACCCCTACCTAGTTCTGTTCTTTTCTTTTTTTCAAAAGTCTTTATCTGCCATTACCAAGATGTTCTATGTAAACTGTAAATCTGATTGTGTCATTTAAATTCCATTTAAAATCCTTCAGTGGCTGGGCATGGTGCTATATACCTTTAGTCCCAGCAGAGGCAGGTATGGTATATCTCTGTGAGTTCGAGGCCAGCCTGGGCTACAAATTGAGTTCCAAGACAGTCAGAGCTACACAGAGCTACCTTGTCTCAAATAACAAATAAAAGCAAAAACAAACAATATATTACTGGAGGGGGCCTCCATGGTCTTCAGGACCTCAGCCAAACTTCTTAGTTCAGCAGAGAGCTTTCCTCTTACTGAACTAGGCAGCTTTCCCTCTGAGCTCTGCATAGTTTTCCCCATAAGGCATTCCCGACACCCTTTAGTCTGAATCAAAGGCCCTTCCTATGTGAGTGTCTTTAGCCCATTTCTCTCAAACATCCCACAGTGCTACCTCATTAGTTACTTTTCTTATTACAACAAAATACCTCATCAAAGCAACTTGAAGAAGGTTTTTGTTGGCTTCCAGTTCATGGCGCTGGCCATCCTGGCAGAGAAGGTGTGGTGTTGTGAACTCTTCTAGCTGTGGTGAGAGCTCCAGATAGCTGATCTCATTGTGTTGGTAGACAGGCAATGAAAATGTGATCTGGGCGGTTTCCCTGCCGCAAAGCTTCTGATGCCAGGGGTCTGCTTGCTGGATCTGAGCTTGGCAGCGGGATCCAGCACACCCGGACACTACCAAGGCCCTGGTGACAGTGCCACCTTCATCCACGAGAAGAGGACAGACATCAGAGTATTGGAACTGTTTGCATCTACCATAGGGGAACCTTGGTCCCCTACCCACCAGAAGAGGAAGAGACTCCTGCTACACCCACCAGAAGAAAGGATGAGAAGAGGACAATGCAAAAGCACATTCAACACAGAAAACCCAATATGACACCACCGGAGATTAGGAACCATACACCAGTAAGACCTGAACATCACAATGCAGATGAAGCAGAAGAGAATGACCTTAAACACATCTTTATGAAAATGAGAGAGGACCTCAAAGAGGACATAAGAAAATCCCTTAAAGAAATGGAAGAAAAAACAAACCAAAAAATACAAGATATCAACAAATCTCTCAAGGAAACAGTCCAAGACCTAAAAACTGAAATAGAGACAATAAAGAAAGCACAATCTAAGGGAATGCTGGAAATAGAAAATCTGGGTAAATGATCAGGAACCACAGATGCAAGCATAGCCAACAGAATACAAGAGATAGAAGAGAGAATCTCAGGAGTTGAAGACACACTATTGGAAATAG